GACAGTGTGAGCTGGAAATGAACCCAGCTCACACTGTCCGCTCCTCGCCGCGCAACGTCCCGCCAACACGGCACCCAGACCCCACGCAGCATTCTCATCCGTTTGTCATTACTGGTGTCATTTTCTGGTTGCTAACGCCATTGTAACACATAATCACTGATGTCCCGCTGTAACGGTGGTGGACTCATCAGAACAGAGTGGGCGAGCTGACCAATCAGAGCACACTGGGCTCACAGGGAGGGGGGGGCCGGAGCTCCAACAAGCCGTGTAGGACAGAGAGTGAATACACATACTATACAGAGATGCTGTATGAGAAACCAATGTGAGTTTGGAACATTGAGCAATGTAAATCTATTCCAGTAGACCTCAACAATGGAATTATGATCAGTAGAAATGGCCATGACATGGGACCTTTAAGAAAAAATCATGAATATAAAAAAAAAAATGTAAGACATCAACTGATTTAAAATGAAGGAACAAATCAAAGATAGAATAAACATAGTATAGTATGTATGTATGTATGGTAATTACAATATAATGTAAACGCATAATGAGAAGTCCGTGTGTGTATATGTATTTACTAAAAGATAAAGAAAAATAACTTAATTAAAAATGGCATTTTAAAACATATACTAGGGTAAGAAGTGAAATTATAATCTAAAATGATGTAAATAAGTGTTAAATAATTTTGTTGTAATGTACACAGCAATATAATATTTGTATAGACATAAAGAGAAGTAGTAATATATGTATATACATATGAATATATATGTAAAAAAAAAAATATATATATTCAATGGGGGAAAAAACTGTAACATTTCTTACTGGTGTGGTATTGGCATGATAAAGAGGATAAATAACAGTTTGCTGTGTGTTTGCAGGAGTGAGAGTCTGAGTGCAGAGAGCCGCTCGGTGCAGAGCAGCCCGAGTTACAGGCTGATGAAGTCCAGGAGCGAGTCGGACCTCTCCCAGCCCGAGTCAGACGAAGAGGGTTACACTCTGGTAGAGCACACACACATTTGTTTCCACACAAACTAAAATCTTTCTCGGCATAGATATTTATGTATTCCAGATCTGTACAAAGAGTTATCTGGATTGTAAAGCTACATCGGTCTTTGTTTTCTCTTTCAGAGTGGAAGGAGAAATGTTGACCTGGACTTGGCATTTTCTCACAAAAAGAGAGGTAAAGCTAATTTGAAAAGCTCTGTTTAATGTTGGGAGTGAGGATGATACAGGGCATCAATCATACTCTTGTCTCTCTGTCTTTTGATTCCTGTGTGGATAGTTTATTTGCTCCTCTTGGGCCAGTTGAGCCCCAAACACAAGAGGAGCTACAAGCAAGTAAACGATGGCATGTTTCTTCCTCTTGTTAGACCATACTTCCATGACTGTGATGCCTCTTCATTCATCTATCATGATGAGGGCCTTGCATTGAGCTTTACTCCATATTCTATTATCTGTGCTAATGCATAGAGGGCAAGAATGAATAAAGACCATACATATGTGCTGATAGTACTAATAGCAGGTCATTCTTCTGCTAAGATGAAGGCTCACTCCCCTCAGAGTTTTCATGGAGTTACCAGTTGCACCTTTTTAGATAAATCATCACTGCAGATTATTGTTGGTGCTTTCACTTGTAATATGGCAACACTAGGTCTGTCACCATTTCACTTATCAACCGACTGCAGCGTTTTCCTCAGTAGTTTTAGGGGTAACTGATTGTTTAGGCGCATAGCAATGGTGGGCAAAAGCTTTTGAACATTTAGAGCATGTAAACATGTCAGAGTAGAGGCACACAATACAAATATAAACCTGAAAATGAGCATGATGGGGCCCCTTTAAATGGAGAAGAGCGATGCCGTGAGTCCATGAATAAGACAAGTGTTTTTGTGGTTGGTTCAAACTTCTGTTATAATCTTATTTGAGTAGAAACTTTGATATATACACGGCTATGGTCGGTTGAAAAAATTAAATGAAAATAACGTTGTCAGTCGCCTATGTTATAAACAGGTTTGGTAACGCACAACGCATTAAAGAAGGGGATTCTGTGTTTCTGGTAATCTGTAGCGCTATTTCTGCTACTCCTTACGAAACATGTGTTTACCCTACTACCACACAAGATTACACCATGGTGAGGATGCTCAAATTGTGTACCATCCATTTTTAAGTAATATTGTCGCTGGCGCTGCCTGTGTTTTGCCCACCAGCTACTACGGTTACTCCAATTGGAGAAACACATTATATCTGAATCCATAATGGATGATTAAGACTTGTGCCAGCCCAGCATGTATAATAAGCATATGGCCATTTGATGAATTCTTATAGATCAATAATGCATTGCACTGCTTTAAGTGCTTTTAAGCAACATGGTCCATCCATCAAAAGAGTTCTGTTGTGCTTTAATGCATCTGAAAGGCTCCTCTCCTCATCCTCCCGTCTTTAGGCTTACTCCACAGCTCCCCAGACTCCCTGGCTGAGTCCTGGTTCCGCGCCAAACTGAGCCGCCAGCGGAGCTACAGCTCGGCGTTCTCCTACGAAGAGTCAGAACTGGACCTGAGCCGCTCGCTGGGCATCCACGCTCTCATCGACAACATGGTCAGCTTCATCAGTGGCGATATAGGCCTGGCTCCAGCCTTCAAGGAGCCGGAAGAAAGCATGTCCACCAGCCCACAGGCCACTATCCTGGCGATGGAGCAGCAGCAGAGCAGAGCGGAGGTGTGGGGTTCTCTCAGGAATTTGAATCCAACTAATTATTTAGACTTTCTGAAAGTAGCAACATATTATTGGTAATAGGGCAGCCAATATGAGTAAAATACAGTCCAAGAGTTGTTCTTGTGACCCTGTTAGAATATCCACTTGACTTCTGGAATGTGTTTTATCTCCAGCTGCGGTTGGAGGCGCTCCACCAGATCGTGGTGTTGATCTCTGGCATGGAGGAGAAGGGCAGCCAGCCCGGCAATGCAGATCGAACCAGCGGTGCCTTCCCGTCCTCCTCCCTGCTCACCTCCGTCAGGTTGCAGTTCCTGGCGGGTTGTTTTGGCCTCGGCACCGTGGGCACCGGAGGGCTGAAGAGAGAGAGCGTGCAGCTACATCATTATCAGGTAGGAGGCTGATAACTGCTGGCTGATAAACACTTCCAGTCAGTTTGCAGATGTCCCACTATTTGATTTACAATAGAGTACAAACCCTTTTATATGCATCTTTACATATTGGTGCATCCTTCTTTTTTCGCAGGATGGTGTAAAAGCAGCTAAGAGGAGCCTCCAGATGGAAATCCAGACAGCTGTCCATAAGATCTACCAGCAACTGTCTGTCACACTGGAGAGGGCTCTGCAGGCAAACAAGCACCACATAGGTAATGGAGACCTCTATTGTCCATACCCAGCAGGGGAGCCCTTAAGATTTATTGGCATTACTTGTTCGGACCCAGTCTGTTATGGGTTACGAGTTGGAGAAGTGGACCCGTTTATTTCTATGAATATTTCTCAGTAGTACATGAAGTCAAAATGGCCCGATTTTCAAGAAGCAATTATTTTGTGAATGGGAGGGAAAATAACTCTGGATTCAGCTTTTAGTGCATTAGTGCGTTGCATAGTGCAACACATTTTAGGAACTAATGATTAAAATAAGAGCTATTCAAGTTTTCATCCTGGCAAGTTGACTCTCATTAAAAACGTTTGCTGGTTAATAGACGTCTCTTTCCGACTGTAAGTCACCGTTTGGCCACTAGGGA